AAAAGGGTAGATGGCTATGAGAAATGGCTTCTCAGACAGCTCACAGTCGGAACAGTTTATCATGAGTCAAGCAGCCATGGCAGCCTGTGCATACTTAACACGACTTGCTAACTCAATTTCAAAAGCGATCCAGTCTACATCAAGAGAGAGCAGGGGTGCTTGTCGGAACAGGATTAACGAGATACGCGAGATTGTGCGGAATCTAGAAGAAGAACAAATTGTCGTACAATTCAACATCATAAACTGTAAGTACGTATCAAGTACGTCACAAAAGAAGAAAATCCAGCTGATGTGGGCACCCGTGGAACAAATCTACAAGAAATGGCTAGCAGTTTATGGTGGAATGGACCGGGCTTTTTACGCACACCGATGATTGAGTGGACAAATCCGTCATACGCGTTGTACGACGAAGAGCATCAAAAGGAAACAGCATTACTGACACGTGGTACAATAGAAGGTAGAGGGAGTGGACATCCATGGGACTTGTTTAGGTTCTCATCACTGAACAAGACTTTCGGAGATAAAATCACAAAAATCGTGTTTTGGACGCGCCTATGGCCGTACCCGAAGTTTCAGAGGATATCGCAGCAGGAAAAGCTCAATTGCTTCCTAAGATTTATGCTAAATGATGAGCGAGTTTTGGAATTGTTGAATCGACGTTTTCTCAGTTTTTTGCGTCCGTGTACCACACGACTCCGCAAAAGCGAAGACTCTAGAGAAAATCATCTTGAAAAATACTGGAAAGCTCGAGGGAGACGCACAAAAAATATATTGCATAGCACGTTGTTTACACTATCGATTTGTTCCCTGTTCCAGACGCAGTTGCTGTAGCAGAAGACCAGGGCTATATTCATCTATATAAATAGATAAATAACAAATGATAATAATATTGGGTCGTTCCAAAAGTTCTTTCCGTTCCTTCGACTTATCATGAAAACGCGTGGATTAGAGATGACCAAACAATTCAAGAATTATTCGACTATCGATCTGACGACCTAATATAAAAATAAGCAAATAAATTCCATGTTCTCTCTTTAATAAACCTGGGCATTTG